AATCAGCATATTGTTGCATATTGCCTTGATATCTAGAAACAAAAACAAGTGATTAGCTCAGTTCTAGCACTATGCACTCAGACCAGAATGCATGTAATCTTTGCAAGGCAAAGATACAGAGGAATTGTTCTTAGTTCTGTTTCTTTCTCAATTTCAAAAGCATTTTTCTTTTTCAGATTTCTGATACAGATAATGGAGTGACTTTTATATTCCTAATAAAGATACTCTTGAAAAGACATGATAAAATTTGGTGTTAATCCATACAGAAATTTCTGAAAATACTGGTTGAAAAACATTATTTACTTTACATGTTTATCATTGTATTGCTCATGTCGTCATGCTTCATTTGTGAGCTAATTGTTATTCATTTTCCTGAGTCTTGTGATTTGTTGCAGGGGCATTTTTTGATTCAGACGTTAGATACAAATCTATTGCAGTTATTTCATATTATCTTCAATATTCATCAATCAGTTCTGTGGATGATAAATGAGTTGAAACTCCGCAATCATCAACTTGACCAAAAGCGACAAGTGAAAAGTTTGTACATGTGATAATAAAAACTTTTTACATTCCCATTACATTTACATTTGATTGTTTTAACGCTCAATTTTTCTGTCTTTCTTCGTTATTTTTCAATAAATTTACGAAAACATTGATCAAGCTATTAAATGCATGTATTTTTTCATCAAACTGACGGTTAAAATTTGAACTCATTTTTCATCCACAGAACTGATCAATTCTGATTTTTCTCAGTACATATTGCTAGAACTGAGCTAATCACTTGTTTTCGTTTCTAGATAATCAAGGCAATATGCAACAATATGCTGATTAAGCACATTCCAGTTTTAACACAATCTATTTGATAAATGTTTCATTTTAACAAGAAACTGGTTCTGATTATTTTCAATGAGATTTACAACTAGCTTTGGTACATTGATGGCTGGGTTAACATTAATATTTCAGCTCCTTAAATTCAAGATTAAATAAAAAAATTTAGCAGGATCAATCATGACAATAAATGTCATTTAATAAAAATGGCCTGTTTTGTTTGAAATATTATATTTTTTCATAACACAAGATAGTTAAGATTTTGATTTTATGATTCGATAAGCTATCAAATTGTTGGATATTTAGCTCATTGTTTTTAATTGATTGATTTGAAAAGATGTAATAGATACTAGATACTAGTAATTGAAGCTCTAGAAAAATTCAATTAGTGTGAGTACATCGAGTATTGATGCACCAGTGTTTTCATTTTGCTCAAGTAAACTGAAATCAAATAACGTTGAAAACCAGTGGATTCAAACAAGATAGCATTTGTCATCGTTTGCTGTAAAAAGGGTTTAGGTCTCAACAGTTTGCTTGATTTCGGCTATCGGCTATTTTAGCTAACTAAGAAAAGAGTCAATAATTCATTTAATAATGAAAAATGTCTCTAAAGCAGGGCAAGATTCGTGTTTGAGTAATCATGCCCCTTCATAGATCAAGAATTAAATCTGACAACATAGATAATAAAATGCTACAACTTTTTTTTGTAGAATCTTGAATCGTCTAAATTTTCATTTTATTATTTTTTCACCAAACTCTTCACTTTTAACCGAAAGACACTTAATTTGTACTTCTAATCCAACAACCAACCAAAGCCAAGAAACTTTATTGAAAACACAATGACCTTAAATCGGTAATTTCCGAACGTTTTTCATGTTAAGTCTTCATTCAGGCTCAGGGAGAAACGTTATCATTCATTGACTAACTCAAACGGACTGATTCCTTTCACAAATTTTGTTGCATAAGTTGACTCTTTTTAGTTTAGCATCCGGGCTTTACACGTATTGTATTTAGCTGTTTTAGACCCAAACCTTGATCTAACCTTAGCTTCATTTGATCTCGGTTTACTTGAGCAAAATTGAAGCACCGGTGCATCAATACTCAATGTACTCACACTAATTGAATTTTTCTAGAGCTTCATTTATCTGTTACATTTGATTAACTCAAACTTTACTTGTTGCTCCATGAAATTATTGATCCACATAGTGATCTGTCAAGATCTAACATGTCCAATTGATTTAACAATTCTAAAACACTCAAAACTGTAAAGTTAAACTAAACGCATCCAATACAATTACAGATGCTTCTGGGTCTTGGGGACAAATAATATGAACGAGATCATAATATGCCATGATTAGATAGAAAGATGTCAACGGCTAATCAATTAACAAAGTTGCATCATAAATCTGTGACCAACACGGCTGACTTTCGAAGATTATTAAATTGATTGACATTTCAATGTTCGGAAGATTAGCGACTGCTAAATGTGAAGAATATGTCAATCAGATACAATGTAATATTCAATACAACAATGTAGCTTTTCAAGCAACGAGAATTCGTATAAAAAGAGTTGCCTTCCCATAGAAATCATCATTCATAAGAATAGTCCAGTTTAGAATAGTTCATCGAACGGAATTCTCATCCTAAACCTAATCAAAATGCGTTTCACCATTGTCTTGGCTCTCTGCTTCATTGGAGGTAAAATATAACTCAAAGTCTTGTATCAACTATCATTTCTAACCCTTTCCGTCTATTCCTTACAGCTGCCTCTGCTAGCTCATTGAAAAAGCGAAGCTTCCTCGATGATATCCAGAACAACACTCAAAATGCTTTCCACGCTTTTGAACGTAAGTATTTATTGTGCTAAGCTAGTCAAATACATAAATATCTTTCTTATAAATGTTACAGAATTCGGTCAAAACTTCAATGAGAAGGTTCAAGAAGCCTTTAAAAACTTATTCGACGCTTTTGGAAACAGTAAGTTATAAGACTATAAGACGGAAGCAACAGAAAATTTAATGGTTTTGTTTCTTTTAATTACAGAGAACCAAACAACTGAAGCTTCAGTCACTGTAACCAAGCGATCCAGCAACCCATTTGCACTGTTCGATGATCTTGGTAAAGGTGATTTAGTCGCATTCGCTCAAGACTTGTTGAAAGTTCTTGCTGATGTAGCTCCTGGTCGACGAAAGCGATATGCTGCTGAAGATCTTAAAGACTTACTCAAAGCTTTCGTAAACAGTAAGTTATAAGACCATAAGAGTATAAGATTACATATGAAAGCATACTTTAATATTTCTGCTTCTCCTAATTTCAGAGAACCAATCTACTGAAGCTTCAGTCATCGTAAATAAGCGAGACAGCAACCCATTTGCACTCATTGATGATCTTGCTCAAGGTAATTTATTCGCATTTGCTCATGACTTGTTGAAAGTCCTCGCTGAAGTAGCTCCAGGTCGACGAAAGAGAGATGCTGCTGAAGACTTCAAGAGTAAGTTGTCAAATCTTGCCAGTTAAAGATCAATATTTAATTAACCTATTTTTTGCGTT